CAAATTTCTTGTGTGTCCAATTACACTTGGCCAATAAAGAATTCTATTCTATTCTATTCTATTCTATTCTATTCTATTCTATTCTATTCTATTCTATTGTTTTAGCTTCCAAACCCCTATTCATATTTGTTGCTCTTCTCTGCCATCAATATCTTTTTTTTGTATTGTGGTAACCAGAACTAGACACAATATTCTAAGTGTGATCTTAGCAAAGCAATATAAAATGGTACTAATACTTCATATGATATTGATGCAGGAGTGAAATTCAGCAGGTTCTGGAGAACCGGTAGTGGAAATTTTGAGCAGTTCAGAGAACTGGCAAAGACTACCTCTGGCTGGCCCCAGAGTGGGGTAGAATGGAGATTTTGCAATATCCTTCCCCCAGGAGTGGGAAGGGAATGGGGATTTTGTAGTATTCTTCCCCTGCCACCCCCCACCAAGCCATGCCCACCAAGCCACACCACACCCACCAAGCCACGTCCACAGAACCGGTAGTAAAAAAAAAATTGGATTTCACCACTGTCTTGATTATACTCTTTGTTTATGCACTCTAGGATTGCGTTGGCTTTTTTGACAACTGCATTAAATTGCTGGCTCATAAATAAGTGGTTGTGCACTAGCACTTCTAGATCCCTTTCACAGTTACTGATTTTGAGCTAGATATTGCCTATTCTGTGTGCTTGGGTTTTTTTTTTTTCCTAAGTGTAATATTCAAATGTAATATTCATCAAAGGTTATAATGCCATTGCATAATAACTATGTCGTCACAGGTTTCATTTATTTAGAATAATGCATAGGTTTTTATGGTTAGTCTTATGTTTAGGATGAGGAGCAAAGCAGGAATAAATGGTTATATTCATATTGTACTTTATTAAATCATAATTTTCAGCTTATAAATACTTCGTATTATAGTATATATATCTAGTATGTATGTATGTATGTACGTATCTATCTATCTATCTATCTATCTATCTATCTATCTATCTATCTATCATCCATCCATCCATCCATCCATCCATCCATCCATCCAATCATTTGTTGTTCCTCATCATCCTCTTCCTGAGTGGCTGAGATTCATTTTAAGTCAGTGGGCACACTTGTGGGGACACATAACACAATCATTGTCCAATATGGAACCTATGAATACCAAAATGATATTGTATTAGGTGTGACCAGGAGCAGCCATTAGTCATAATTAAAACTGAGATTGTTTTTTAACACTTCTTCCAGGGCTTCCTACCACTTCAATTTATATTTTTTATTCCTGGGCTGATGGACTTAAGTATGCTACTCTTTTTATTTTTGATGAGTGCCTGTGAGGGGCAGCAAAGGCATTCTTGGAAGTAAACATGCTACTAGAGACTGGCACTGCTTTCCTTTGCAGTATGGCAGATTTCTAGTTTCAAAAATTAAATTATCACAAATGGTCAGGAAATCCAAGAAAATTTAAGAGATATGTCTGTGAACATAATGGATGCCACATGGCCCCTCCTTGCCTTATTCAAAGTACCAAGAATTCACTACATGCGTTCCTATGTATAGAAATAGGCTAGATGCAATGATATATTCTTTCCAGAAATAAAATGCTTCTGAAGTAGGTAGCTAATGCAAAATACAACACAGATGATCTCTTATGCACTATAGTTTCTCTAACCATCCCATTGTTTATGTTTCATGAAATACTTTCTTATTTCAGTGTGACATTCTGAGAAATGAAATACAGGAATATGGCAATGTAATCATCCTGCCAGAATCTTCACCTTAGAAATGTTCAGCAATGTTTTATTTGTCCAATCATTCTGAATTCAAGAAGAAGGAGAACTACATTTCTTTGGAACAGCTGATGGCAACTTTTTAAAAAGTTACTTATCAAAGATAGTTCTCATCTTTGCAATGCATACAATGCAAAATTTACCAAGGATTGGATTTAGGGTCATAAAATGATTCATTTGGAGGAAGGGCTTGGTCCAAGGTCCCTTCCAACTCTTGTTATTTAATGTTCTATGTTATAATCTTGGTGGCTTCCACACTTAAAAGCTTCCTTTTTCTAGGGTTATATTTTAGAATAACAATAGTCCTCAAGTCAAGCTCAACTACTAATGATTTCAAGTAACGAAAGTAGTTTACCATTAGAGCATAGCATACATTAATGATAGACCTGTTGGATCAAGGTGAGATTCATCTGGTGTAGCATTTTGAGTCTCATCTAGATGTCTAGGATGATCATAAGCAACTCTTCTCTTATTATTGCACCTCTTTAACTGGCATTTGGAAGCATGCTTCCATTCAAAGGTGGCATTGGTCATCAAGACTACTAGACCTTGATAGCCTTAGCTTCCAGGAGAAACCAAATACCTTTAAGACTATCCAGTTTAGTGGCCACCACAACACTGTGTGATAATGAATTCCATAGGTTAATTAATTACCCTAGGAAGAATTTGTTTCCTCTGTTCTAAATATCTTTCCAATCAGTTTCATTTGATGACCTCTAACCTTAGTGCTGGTCACATTTGGGGTTTGTGTGTGTGTGTGTGTGTGTGCCCTTGTCCCTGTAACCTGTCTGTTTGTTTGGAAGAGAAACAAGTTTTCACAGCCTATATAGGCTCCAACAGAAAATAAATCTGTGGGACAGTTATAAATCAGGAAACCCACCTAACACTGCAGACCTAAAATCATGCTTTAGCTTGTGGTCTGGATTGTAGCAGTTTAGGCAGTAGTAATGTCTGAGTGAGGGTTTTTCTACACCTGAGTATAACCTCAGCATGAACATGCCAGGCAACCTCTATTTTTTTTCCATACCTTCATGAAATCTGTCCCAGCACATGCCTGAAGTAGCTTAAGATGACGTTTAACTCTTCCATTATTTTCTTCTACTTAAGTAAGGAAAAATCAAGACAATCTCAAGTATTGCATGCTGGAACATTATGCCTCTCGAGATGAGATCCAGCTAATTGTAATTGTTTTATACTCGTATATATATGTTACTGTAAGACACCCATAGACGCTTGATAGTGGCATGGGCAACATATTAATTTAACAGATGAGTAAAATCAAACAAGTCCAATAAAAAAAGGCTGGCATGGTTTACTAGGAGCCATAAAACCATAAAAGGTAAGAAGCTTTCCTTTAGGAACTAAAAAGTCAGTCCTAAACAGGTGATCAAAATGAATCACAAACTCTTAAAGAATGCAATTTTAGAAAAAAGGAAAAAATGAGAAAGGACTGGAATAAACTATTGCAAAAATCATTTAGTATTTGACAAAAATCGTTAAGTATTTGGGTTGTTAATGACAAAGGAGTAAAAGGAAGATCTGCAGACTGCATAAAAACCCAATGAATTCTTTGCATTTGTCTTTACTATAGAACCAATATTGACTTTCTTACAGACAGAATCAGAACAATTGAAGCAACTGAGATAACAAGAGAAGATATTCAGGAACATTTTGAAAGACTACACAGTAACAAATCACCAGATCGTGATGGATCTATCCAAGGGTTCTTAAAGAACTCAACTGTGAAATTGCTGATCTCCTCTTCTCTGAGCTGAACCAAGGTCAGCTAATTGTACATCTGCAAACGGAACGTATATTTATTTCATACTGAATGGAAATTTAATATAAATCGAGGGCATTTCTCTATCTTTGACATTCATTAATCACTCAACAGTAGTAGTTCTCAAGGCAACATGCAAGAAAATAAAGCTAAAAGTCATCTATTATTAAACCAAACACCAGAATGCTCAGATAGCTCCATGATGTCATATGTTATATTTTCAAAAGCATTTTCTCCTTATTTTCAACTAAAAAGAATTCTATATGTATATAGAAAGTTCTGTATGACTGACAGAATTTTTGGACATTCATTTTCTTTATTTCTGATATTCCATTGCAGAATTTTTAAATATTTTAATATTTTAATCTAATTATGGATCTATCACTTCAGTAATTCAAAAATAGTTTTACTTTCTGACTATGTTATAGCTTTATGATTTGTATTATATTACAAATGTTCCCAGTCTTAGATTTCATACTAATCAACAGTGAGGTACAAGACTACATCAAGGCTCCAGATTATATCAGAGGGAATATCTGTAGAATGCATTTTATTAGAATAAGTCTATAGAAAGGGGTTTATGTACTGTATATGGATATCGCATGATGTATGTGCATTTTTGAATACACTTAGATTCATCAGTATGTTAGAAAGCAAAGCTATTCATTGTATCTTAACTATTAAAAGAATATTTCCTTTAAGAATTATTGTGTTTGTAGGATATGCCCCTTGTTCAATTATCAAAGATTAATTAATTTAAAACTAATAATCTGCAATAAAAAGGATATCAAACTCTACATCAAAGTAAATTTTAATTGTGTGAAATCTTTGAAATTGAAATATTTCAAAGCTCATGGACTTTTTTTCATTCTTGAAATCAAAATATTTGCCAAGAGCAAAATTCCTGTAAGAGAAGACTTCATGATAACATCAGAGTCTTGCTTAAGATGGGTGACCAGATAATTTTTCTAAATAAATAAATACTAAGAGCACTGTTAGATTCTTGTTTGAGTATATTTGGTTATGTGTATGCAATGCATGCACACACACACACACACACACATTGTTATCCATGGAAATATTTCACATTTTATGTTCAAGAAAGAGGCATACCTCAATTATAAAGGTTAAACTTTGCATATACAAGGATCTTCAACTATGCCAGAATTGCTTTGCCGAGAGTATTTATAAATGGTTCTATATCAGTTTGGAGAACAGACCTGAGTAGAGCTCCCACAGCAGTGGTGGATTGCCCCCGGTTTGGACCGGTTCGCAAGAACCGGTAGTAAAATTGGTGGGAGGCCCTGCCCACTGCCCCGGATGTAATCATCGGCAATCTGCACATGTTCAGAAGCAAGGCGCGTACGTGAGCGATCCCATTGCGAACAAGTAGTAAAGGTAAGTAGAACCCACCCCTGTCCCACAGGATGATATCTGGTCTCTGGGTTGATCAGTATTTTTATTAATAACTTAAATGAAGAAGTTGAGAATATTATCAAATTTGCAGATGACACAAAACCAGAAGGAGAGTAACTAGTATTTTAGAAGATAAAAAGAAGATTCCGAAAGGATATTCTAAAATATCTGGATAAGATCTTGAAGAATGGGTTAAACAAACAGAAAATCTGCATCTGTGAAGAAAAAAAATGAAATAATTTTTTTATGTGAAAGATCTGAGAACCCTAATTAAGTACACGAGACAACAGTTGTTTAAAAGGCAAATACTATTTTAAGTATATTGAAAGGCGAATAGAGTCCAGCTTACCAGAATTTATTGTCCTGCTGTATTCTGCCTTGATCAGGTCATATTTGGATTACTGTGACCAGTTTGTGACACAAAACTCTACAAAGGAAATTGACAAACTTGATCAAGTTTGTGGTGGATATGTCTAGCCTGCTAGACATATCCAGAAAAGACTAGCAAAGATGCAAGAAAAGACTAGCAAAGATATGACAGCAGGCTTCGGATATTTAAAGGGATTTATATAGTGGGCTTCTTCTCTGTCACCTGTTGTTAAAAAACATGTGCCTATCCCAAGTTCTTGGGAAAAGATGGAGAAAAATGTCAAATCCAGTCTAAACATCTGACTGACTGTGTGACCAACCATAATGACTATAATAGGGTAATTAGTTGGTTCTATTGTTACTAACGTGCAGTTGTTTGTCAAGACATCCCCTGATAATAAGATCAATTGGGCTTTTGAGCGCATGCGCTAAAATAAGTCCCCCCTGAAAATAAGCCCTCCCCAAAATAAGCCCTCCCCGAAAATATTTAAACGTATGCGCAGCTAATTCCCGCCATTCCCTCTGGTTAGGGTTTAAGGAGACAGAGCTGGAAATCAGGTAAGACTGCAAGAGGAGCCCCATCTTGCTCCATGTGCCCCAAAATAATAAAACCTCCTCAAAAATAAAGCCAAGTGCTTATTTTGGGGTTCAAAAAAATATAAGACAGGGTCTTATTTTCAGGAAAACACGGTAGATGATTACATCAGACCCAGAAACTTTATGTATTAAAAAAAAACCTCTTATTAGTCTATGTATGGTTTCCCTTTTAAGAATAGTACAAAATATGTGAATGAATGTGAATAGTGATATTTTCATGTCAAATATCATGATGACTTTCAAAAGCCTAGAAAAAGATTAAAAATTGGTGAAAATTGACAAAGTTGCTTACCTAAAAATATGACATTGTAATATTCCATATATTTTAATGTGTTTCCCTAATTGACTCATTTCCAACTAACGTGTAATGATTACACTCTCCTATTAAAATATCTACTTTAATTTTCTGTTGCTAATTGTTTCCAGCTTTTCAGTTTTCTTTCATTTCATTATACACAGACATTAATCAAGTAAAGTAAAATGACAGTAAATTAAAAAACTTTTTTTAAAGGTTACCAATAGACCACTTTCTCTGTCAGGATCACTTTTATGATTGATTTTTTGACTTTACAGATGCTCCCTATTTATTGTATCCTAATGTCTTCATGCTCTAAATTTTGGGAACGTGTTTAATAAAATTTATGCTTATCTAAGGGGACACGGTGGCTCAGTAGCTAAGATGCTGAGCTTGTCGATCAGGTCAGCGGTTCAGCGGTTCGAATCCCTAGCGCTGCATAATGGAGTGAGTTCCCGTTACTTGTCTCAGCTTCTGCCAACCTAGCAGTTCGAAAGCATGTAAAAATGCAAGTAGAAAAATAGGGACCACTTTCGTGGGAAGGCAGCAGCGCTCTGTGTATCTTCGACATTTAGTCATGCCGGCCACATGACCACAGAGACATCTTTGAACAGCGCTGGTTCTTTGGCTTAGAAACGGCTCCTAGTCGTTTCTGGCTCCTAGACCCAGAAACGATTAGCATGCAGGTGCAGGGAACCTTTACCTTTATGTCTGTCTATCTATCTATCTATCTATCTATCTATCTATCTATCTATCTGCGGAAATGGTTCAGTCTGTGTCATTTTCTGCAACCTGTTACAAGTAAATAGTTCCACAGTCGGACTGCACACATTACTGAAACTCACTGAAGAAATTTATAGTTACAAAAGTTTGTGTCTGCGCTGCCAAAGTGAGCATCGTACTTAAGATTAATATATTACATGGACATGATTTCTATAAGTTCAAAAGTTTCTGAGTCAGCACTGGATGGTACAAAACCTCTTTTATGGACCAGAAGAAAAACCCAAATTGATGCAATCTGGATTAGAATCAGCAGCCAGAGTCTGGTCTACAGCTCAGCAGCATTGGCAGATTCCTAGGATAATGAGACAACTGCTATTCTCGCAGTTTCAAGATGAATAAAGCCCATTCTAATGCCTACAAAAGAAAAGGAAAGGAAAGGAAAGGAAAGGAAAGGAAAGGAAAGGAAAGGAAAGGAAAGGAAAGGAAAGGAAAGGAAAGGAAAGGAAAGGAAAGGAAAGGAAATAGTGGTGGAGGAAGATTTCTAAATCTCCTGGTGCTTGAACATTTTTGCTTATAACTATCCTATCTGGTGAACCTCTGACCTCCACACGGCAGTCTCTGTAGGCCTCATGAATTCAAACCAAATAGTCAATCTATTTAAACAGATGCTTCCTGTTCTAAGTAAGCTTTACTTGAACATCAAAATATTCCCGAATTTTAATATGCCCTATCCTATATCATTTGATTGTTTTTTGTTCCAATTTTCAGCTCCTTGATCCTGGATTTATCACAAGGTCCTGACTTCTAATTTTGTTTTATAGTTTAAGGAAGGATGCATTTCCTCCAGAAATTTCATGTCAGGATCTGGAAATCCAATCTGATTGCTTTCTAGAGCAATAAGACAATTAGAAGTGTTTGATTAACTGAGTCTATATTTTCAGAGAATAAAGAAATATGGAAGAAAATAAGAAAAAAATTAGTTCTTGAACAATGAAAGATAAACTCATTTCAAATATAACTTTTCCTAAGCTCATCTCTTTGCATATAATTTTGTTGCACGATCCACTACAAAAATAAGTTTACCATCAGGAATATCTCCTAAGGCAACCTGTAGTATTTTAACAGAATTGCCAGGACATTCTACTTTTCTGCAGACTTATCCTCAAGCGTGATATCAAGAAAATGACAATATTGTCACTCCCATCAGTGCAAGGAAATGTTATGCATAGATACTAAAGAACCATCAATCCTGTCTCCCAGTTACGATAGCATCCTTAATTTGACATTTTATTTCATCCATTGAGGTATGTGGGAGGGGTAAAATTACATTTGCAAAGTGAAAATAGGTATAATGGCATTTCCTTTTGACTTCAGTTGGGAGAAATAAAGTGTCAGCCAAGTGGCATATAAAAGAAATACAAGAGGAAAACAAACTGAAATTGAAATGTTATTTTGAGAAATCTCTGCAATAATTGCATTTTTCATTTTCCCAACTGAATAATACAAGTTCATTTTAAAGAAATCTATTACTCCAGAAAAGTAGAATATATACAATCACTATTATTACATAAAATACATTGCTAAACTAAGATGATCAATAATCTCTTCAATCTATTTTCTTGAATTAAATATACAGGTAGATATCGTTAGGATATCATGCCCCATCCTGGCATAGAAATTTAAACCCAATACTTCTGAAAGCAAATGCTTCTTTGATGGCTATGCGTTGACGCTTTGACTCAAAAGAGAAAGGATGGGGTCTATCTCTATAGTAATACAAATTTTTAAGACAGACATTTTATTGCAATTCTTATATAGGCCTCCAATTTGGATCACAGTTGTCAATAACATAATCCAATTGTCAGTAAAAAATTTAAGAGCTCTTTTAAATATTCTAAATTCTGTTATTCTCCTGGAAATGGGCTGAAGTACTCTAGAAAGGTACACTTGGCTAAGATTAAACTGTGGCTTGAAGTATATATTTTCAGAAACAAGGAAGAATTGTTAAATAGCACTTCAAATGACTATTTGCAGATACAAGGTTTAATCTGGTTACTCAAAAGATTGGTCAGAATGATATTGATGCCAACCATTTATTTTCCAGGAATAGACTCTGGCATTTTATTATTTGAAACCAAGATTATGGGGACAGCTCATTATAGGAATTAAGTCAAAGTGTTGTGTTTTGCTCTGATTTTTGGGATGAATTATAGCTATTGTTTTCATGGTTTATATACCTTAGCACTTTACATTTAAATAAATATAGAATAGCCTTTGCAAAAGGCAGATTAAATGTGTTGCCCTCCAATATGTTATACAGCAGATGTCAGAAGATTGTCATTCCTCAAAAATATTTTCCCTGGCATTGGCCTTGAAACTATGGGTCATCTTTAATTTTACTAGAGTTTTACTAGAGCTTTTGGCAAATATTATTGGCCCTATTTTAAAATCAAAACCAAAAATTTTGAATTTGTGGAATATGTTAAAATATTGTCAGATAAAAATCCTAACATTACAGGGGTCACAGCCACATTTTTAACTATGGCTACAAAACAAAACAAAAACACAAGGTCTTTACTAATACTAAGTTTGAGTTTTAAATGTTTTATGTATATCTACCATTTTAAAAATTCATTAAACTGTTTTATCACATGCTAATTTTAAAAATTATCCATTGTTCTTTGGAGGGTGTTTTTTTTTTTTTTTTGGTTTTTATTGTTATTATTACCCACATTTACATTAATACAATCTCTGTGCTTGGAAACAGCACACATATACACACACACATGTACATATGCACACACACTTTACATTAAGCAACAAACACAAAAAATAAAATAATAATCTAAATAAAATAAACAGGAATTGTGGTGGCACAATGCAGTATTGCAGGCTAATTTTATTGAATGCCAGCAGTTCAATTCTCATCAACTCAAGGTTGACTCAGCCTTCTATCCTTCCAAGGTTGGAAAAATGAAGACCCAAATTGTTGGAGGGGGGGGAATTCTGACTCTGTAAACCACTTAGAGAGGGCTGTAAAGCACTATGAATTAGTATATATGTCGAAGTGCTATTGTTATAATATAATATCAACCAAATATCCCCTAATAGTGCTATCCAATGGAGATCAATCAAGCTTCATTGCCCCAAAATGCTATCCCGAAAGACAAGAGTCTTGTCTTCAGGACCTACCAAGAGGAAGAGGAGGTGGAGGAGGAGGAGGAGGAGGAAAATGTGGCAAGCTATTTCACAGAAGGGGCATCATCCTAAAACAGCTTGGTGAGGAGGTTGCTGTACATAATATTGCCTGCTCAAATCTAGCCAAGCCTGAGTTTTAAAAAAGCTAATGATCAGCAGAACCTTGAATAATATTCAGTGGTAATTCAAATTTGGAACAAATCTTGTTGTAGGTGAGTGGGTAGAGAAAGAGACAGAGATTATTTTGCACTTTTCTAAAGCTGAGGCATCACTTAGAGATACAATAAATTTAGTCTCTCGTAGCACTTTGGCAAACCCACACTGAAAGTTTCTCCTGAAATCACAGTAAATAAAGATAATATAAAAGGAAAGCCTTGGTAAAATTATATCCTAATCCCAGTTACAAGTCATATAATGTCTGTATTTATTCTGATTAGGTTATAGTTAAGCAGTAGAAGGAATGGGGGAAGGGGGGAAATGTTTATATCGTATTTGACTATGCAATATAAATATAGCCAAATTTGCACTTTCCGGACTGTAACTGTAACTGTAAAATGGGATGCAAATATCCTTCGTTCGTTCGTTCTTACCTGAACTTTCTGATGCAGTTTCCCCAGTCTAAAAATGCCTGTCTGAAATGTAGACATTAGGAAAAATTGCTTGCAAAGCATGCATATTTTAGAAGAAAATGTGTAGAAATAAATGTATTAGAAGAAATAATATATACAAATTTATATATGAATTTTGATAAAGACTACTTGTTACTAAGGTGGAACAGGGAAGATAAACCAATGCAAAAGCTAGATGGTATTTTCCCCACCACCACCAAAAAAAAGGTTTAATGTCTCAGAAAGAGAACAGATTCATCCTCCAATATGTGTGAAACACTGATTTATTAATGGTCATCCATAAAATTTAAAACACCATATAACCACAGCTTGATTTTTCACTCCTATATATAACCTGATTAATTTAAAAGAATTAAAATATAAATATTCGGATTTAAGTTGAATTGTTTTTGGCTTTGATCCAAATATATTCTTCCATTGGGGTTTTCAATTTATTAGTAAAGGTGGAGTTTTGTATATCCACGATGGTAATGATGAGTTACCACTGTGCTGTATAGCTATGACTTCACTGAAATATAGTCATTGCTAACACATACTTCTTAAGTGACCTTTCAAAACTGCAAGTAATGATTATCACGGGGGAAAAAAGCAAGAACATAAAAAGTTTCATTGGAAGAAAAAAAGGGTGCAACTTAACTGAGTGTTTCTCCTTGATTTCCTGACCCAGGATTATTTCTACCGATGAAGTTATTTTTTAAAATTTAATGGATTGTTTCCATTTATCTTTAAGAAATCTTCTTTCATAGGGCATCTTACAACTACTTAATGACAAGGACAATCTGTGCATTAGATTCTGCTTTTGGAAGCAAAATGTTTGGGGCCAGGATTGGCAAAAACCTTTACTTGTATTGAACTGCAAAAGAAGATAGCCAGCTAGCATCTATTAATTATGGATGTCTGGGTCAATATAAATTCTATTCATTCTCCTGTCAATATAGTAGGAAAGCATTCCAGGATGCCTTCATTTTAATGCATTTTTTAAAATTTATTTGAAAAATCTGCTTTTATACAAGTTTTTCCAATGTCATTTTTAATATAAAAGCTTTCATAAATTTTTTAAATGATTCTTTTTCCAAATGTTTTATTTTATACACAGTATATATTTTATACACAGTGTATTTTATACAAAGTATAAAATTCTAAATGTAAAATTTCTTTCAGAATCATATATCCTTTGTAGGTTATTTATTTATTTATTTATTTATTTATTTATTTATTTATTTATTTAAATTTCTATGCCGCCCTTCTCCCGCAGGACTCAGGGCGGTGAACAGCCACGAGATAAAACAACATAAATACAAAAATTTAAAATGAATTAAAAATGAATTAAATAATTTGGCTGAATTAAAATGCCCCATAATTTAAAACAAATTTAAAATTTACATTTAAAAATTTTCATTTAAAAAGGGGAGAAGATTTAGGCCAGGCCAGCTTGATGGAATAGGAAAGTCTTAAGCGCGCGACGGAAGGTGCGAAGATCCGGGATCCTCCGTATCTCCGGGGGGAGCTCGTTCCAGATCATAGGTGCCCCCACAGAGAAGGCTCTCCCCTAGGGGCCGCCAGTCGACATTGTTTGGCCGACGGCACCCAGAGGAGCCCCTCTCTATGGGAGCGTACTGGCCAGTGGGAGGCTATTGGTGGTAGAAGGCGGTCCCGTAGGTATACTGTATCCCCATGCATATTTGTTTCTTTTGAAGATTTTGACTTGAAAGATAGGCAGTGGTGAAATCTACTCAGTACTACTTTCTTTTTTCATGAAGTCTTTCCTGATAGTTCTTTTTTATTTTTTTTATTTTCCATTTTTCCAATTTAAATAACAATAAGCATTTTTTAACAGTACTGTGTCATATGCCTCTTACAGTTATCTACATTTATTTCTATACATTTTTGTTTCTCTGTTCTAACCACGTATCCCAAACCTCGTAAAATTCTGTTTCTTCCTTGCCTTTTATTTCTAATGTGAGCTTATACATCTCGGCACATTCTAATATATTATGAATAATCCTCTCGTTGGCTTGTATATTTTCAAGTTTCCAACATTGGGCATAAACAATTCGTGCTACTGTTACTATATATAAAATGATATGTTGGAGTTGCTTCTTTATCTTTTGATTAATTATTCCTAATAAAAATAATTCAGGTTTAAATTCAATTTGTTCTCCTGTTATCTCCTGTAACCATCTCCTTATCTGTTCCCAATATTTCTTTGCTTTCAGGCATTGCCACCACAATGGTAGTTCTTATGGTTTATGCTATTGGGGAGACTCAGAATGAGCTATGGCTACTGAAAGATTCTAAGTAAAACAAAAGGACTAACATATAGGTAGTCCTTGACTTATGACCATAATTGAGCCCAAAATTTATAGCTTAGTTACACTATTGTTAAGTGAATCTGGGTTCCCCGTGGACTTCGCTTGTCAGAAGTCGCAAAAGTTGATCACATGATCCCAGGACACTACAACCATCATAAATACATACCAGTTGCCAAGTGTCCGAATTTTGATCATGTGACAATGGAATGCTGCAATAGTCATAATTGAGAAAAATGATCATAAGTCACTTTTTTCAGTGCTGTTGTATCTTCAAACAGTCACTAAATGAAAGGTTGAAACTCAATAACTACCTGTAGAAATAAAAGAATCGATAGGGCAATTGCTCAGTATAGTCAGCAAAAGGCTAACAGATAATACAGAAAAAGCTATTCAAATTCTTATTTTGAGGAAATGCATTCTACCAGTTGAGTATGAACATCAGAGGTAAACGGCCTGATTTAAAATATGACCCGGAAACACCTATCAATTTCAAACTTGATTTTTCAGGACTAAATTAATTTTATTTTAGTATACCAGAGGAACTTTGCTGTTAGTCGGGCTGAAACTCTATGTATTAGCTTTGAGAAGTCCCAGAGAACAGTAAAGTGACAAATAATTGGAGAAGAAATGTACTTTATGTCCAAACCAAAGAAAAAGCAAGATAAACAACAGACTAGCTAATCTAACATAGATGCAGGAGCCCTGGTGGCACAGTAGTTACAATGCAGTATTGCAGGGAAACTCTCCCACAGCCTGGAGTTTGATCCTGACTAGCTCAAGGTTGACTCATCTTTCCATCCTTCCGAAGTCAGTAAAATGAGATTGTTGGGGGCAAATATACTGACATTGTAAACCACTCATAAAGTGCTGTAAAGCACCATGGAGTAGTATGTAACTATAAGTGCTATTGCTATTACTATGCAGTACTTTGAGTGTGAGCACTTATAGTGTTTCAGAGTATATGGAGACACTCACACACACTTACCTGCAATTCTTTAAAGAGGCTGCCTTTTTTTATATATCACATGACCTTTCTACACAATTACCATGTGATTTTGGGAAAAGGTACACAAAATTGGGCAAAGGTTCCCATTGTCCGAGTCATGGTTTCTTCCTGCACAACATCATCCAATAGACATGAGTCCAGAAGGACATAAGTTACCAACTTAATTCCTTCAGAAGCAGCAACCGTGCAGAGCATCTTAATAGATAAACAACACCTGTTTCCTGTTAGATTTAATTTTAGCCTCTTTTTTTCTGTATATATTCTAACAGTATCCTGGCAATATAGTGATTAATTCTAAAGTTATTGATTTGTAAGCACCTTGAAAACAATGTAGTAATTAACAGAAGCCAGAAGTCTAGTGTAGCAATTGTAAAAAAAAAAAAAAAATGTTGGAGTAGGAGTTTATAACAAAGTAAATATAGTTAGCCTTAATAATAGGCTTCTAAAATAGCAAATGCAATGTTACTGGTAAGTTGTATCTGCTTCTGTAATTCCCAAACGTTAGGAGGCAATCATTTCACTTTCTTCTGCATTGTCAGATTGTATCTTCAGTATTATGTCCATTGCTAGAATACTTAAGAAGGATTAAGATAAGCTTGAACAGGTTAAACAAAGGGCAAAAAGAATGGCCAGGAGATTAGAAAGTAAATCATATGAAGTAAGATTGAAGGAACTGGGTATGTTTAGAGAAAGCTGAGGGACATCATAAAATATAATCACTTTTTTCAACAACAGTAGATGTTAGACAACTATCCAATATTTTAATCTAGCACACTGCTAAGCAGAAAATGGGGAATTGCCTCAATAAACTTCATTATTTCACTCATAAAAAAATCTATGATAGATAACTGACCTTTGTACAAATGTGAATTTTAATTTAAAAGGCTTATTGTTGCAAACATATCTATCATCTTTTCTTCAAAGTTATAAGTGAAATGTCAGTTTGACAATTATGAGATGGGACGGACATAAAAAGGGAAATAAGCTGGAAATCCAATTGTCTCCAATGGTTCTTATAGGAAAAAATGCAAATATTACTTTCATAATGAAGTGACTTTCAGAATTACGATACCGAGGACACATTTCCTTGATTCAGTATGGCTTCAAAGATAAGAATTGATGTTGCCTTTGAGGATAGTGCTTGCCTATTATTCTAAACAGCATACGTTAAGAAGGATTCAGAATATTCATTAAGTGCCTGGAAGAGAACAAAGGAAAACAGATATCAGTAGCCTAAAATGTCCCTATCTTTGGTAAAAAGATCAGAAACAGATTGCAGTTAAATTTATTTTCTGGTGTCTTCCAAACCAATTAAGTCTTTAAACAGTTAAGTTAGCAAACAATCAACTATTACCTACCTTCTCAACAGGTTCTAGAAAAATAATCAAGAAGACTTGCATTGCAAAGCCATTTAATCCTCCAGCACCATCTTCCTTTCATTTAAATAAAATTTGGCATTTATACTTGAGGATCATTTTGCTTTAGATCCTGAACTTGGGGAAATGAATTGCCCATATGATGTGCACTGAACTGTGATGTGTATCAATCATTGAGGCTTGCATCTATCAACATTTCATATATAATAAAGGCAATAAGGCCTTGTAAGGCAATAAGTCTTCTGCATGTCTCAGAATGTAAATGAATGCCCAACATCTAAAGCCATGGATTTCAATGAGCACGATCTTAGATATTTCTGTCTGTGCAACGATATTGATATGTTGGGGAGTGGGGGGAGTGTTCTACCATGAACTATCAGAATAAAGTGCAGAAAGAATAAAAACCTCATTCCAAATGGATCTTCTCTCTTTCTTAATTTTTCTTTGTATTTTATTGTATAATAAATCTTAGTAAGGAAAGGAAGGTTAGAAACTGGATAGTAATTGTGGATCCAGGGGAACAGACCAATTACTATTCAAAGGCTGTTGATATTAATCTCTTACTTCCTCCCCACTATCTGAAGAAACCAGGAGAGGAAAAGTTACAGGCTACCAGTGGTCAAAGATATCGTCTCTGTTTCAATTACCCCAGGAGGCTAGGCAATGGCGTTTTGCCTAATCCAACCTTTTTTGGGTATATTCTATGGGACATTTCTGCTCTGCATACTCTCATCTGCTGCCAGTCATTTCCAAAACTGCTCTTTGTTTGCAACATTTATAGGTTTAGGGACTAGTAGGAAAAATGATAAGAGTTCTGCTAGTTTCTGCTTCTACCTTCAGAGGGGCTCAAGGTAAGCAGTAGCAGTATTCCAATGCTTTCCACAATCTTTGTACTGCAGCTATGACTTGTTCCTGGAGATATTTTAGGATAGAGGCCTATGATGACTTGTAAATCTGCACCCAAAAATTCTGCTAGGTGATAGGTCAGTGGATAAGAGAAAGGTCTCAGATAAGGTAAAAGTTATCTTAATACACCATATTCCAGCTCCTCTTTTCTTCATCTCAGACCTGTCAACTGCATTGATCTATCAGCCAGGTTATTTTGGACAGAGTTCTATCAGAGTTCTATCAGAGTTCCAAGACCAACAAACCTGTATCTATAAATAGCTGAAATGACAGGTCAAGGGATAGATCAAACCCCTTCAATATGTAAGCAATTGCCTTACTGAACTGGTATTTTGGGATAGCAATCTACCAATTTTTGAGAAGATTATAAATGTATGTTCAAAAATAACCCATGACAGCTTTTCTTATACAAAGCACTTCAGGGCAACTTAAAAGGTGGCTAAAGCCCATGTCAGGCACCTCAGCATACATATCCATCACACAGAAAGACCATGCCGAGTGACAGGAGAAATAAAGATAGGGGTATTCAACTGACCTGCAGTGAAGCTCATTTATGAGAAGCCCACAGGCATGAGTGAGGGCAAAAGGATTGTCACCATGCTATTCTTCAAAATGGACAGAACAACTAAATAGGTTAAACGAATGTTAGATTATAATTTGGCATTACCAGTTAAGTGAGTTTTATGAGGCCATGAGTTTATAAATAATTTATTTATAATTATCAGATTATAAATTTTATACAGTGTGTCACAGTTATACTTTTAAACAATAGGAATGCTATGAGTTTCTGAAGTTCATTATTTAGGCAATGGTGATGATGTTACAACACTAACTTCTCAATTAATGGTGTGGTTTACAAAATCTCTGTAAGGTTATATGGGAAATCTTTTCTAAAATTGGTTTTACTAATACATGCCAGTTATTTAGCATTATGTGTAATGTAACTGTCATCGCAATTATTATTATTGGATTTTTAAAAAATCTTATGGTTATACATTCAAAAGTAGCTTAACATCTGGATTTTTCCCTCTCAACTAGCATTTGGAGATCAATTCAGAAGTATTAATCATTTTTATGGGTCTAGAGATTTTTAATTCTTAGAAAGCCACAATAAATGTCATCAAGAAATATTTCTCACAATGAAAATGGTGCCCACTTTGGCAGCATACGTACTAAAACTGGAACATCTGAAAATGCTGCATTGCAAAGTATATGCTTCAGAAATTAGACTCATGGCATTGTTTCCAACACGCAAAATTTTTATTTTACTGTAATGGAAGTAAAGAACAGCCTAAATTATTCTAGGAAGATCTGTTTGTTGAAGTAAACATTTTTTGCTAAATCTTAACGTTAATAATCATATTATTAATGTGAATCGTATTATTATGTGAAATATGTATTTTCAATTAAATGTTTGAATTGTTTTTGTTTCCAACTACTCATTATTTGTTTTTGTTTCCAACTATTGATCATCCACATTTTTGCAGCTAGAAACGGTAGCCTTAAATCTCATGAGAATGTCATATTTTATTAACATAAAAATAATTTTCATAAGCAACATTAAGAATTATAACTTTAGATGAAGGATGCCGATCCAAAGTTACCCTGGTTCTAATAAGAAAGAAAATAAAATATAGAAATGAGAAAACAGTTTTAAAAATAAAGACTAGTCCAGTTTTTCTGTTTAATTTGGCCTTTCTTAGTTCATGCAGTCCAATATCATCACTGAGATAATTTTCACTCTTATTATTTTAATGAAAAAAGACTCATGTTACAGTGATCTAATGCTTTTGTTTACTTGTGACCATTTGGTGCAAATGACTGCTCAATTAAGCAATTGTAACTTACCTAAATTGTCCCTGCTTCTTTTTACGATAATTAGGCTGCCTTGTTAAAGGGAAATTGATAAGAAGGCAGAATGAGTCATTGTCTCAACCAATATGAAATTAGCACTTTAATTTCATTTGGGAAATCCAAGATGGAATTATTAAGACCTTGTTCCCACAAAGAGTAAAAGAATAACACTTAGATTTTCCAATGAGCCTTTTTAGTCATGACATATTTTCACAGGACTGATGCTACAGAATTAACAGAACAAGGTTGCTTAAACCATGGCCTGAGGAGGCCTGAGTACAATTAGATTTGATATATCATTCCAGTAATTCTGTAAATAACTTATGAGTAAATTATTTTCAAAGAAAGAAATCATTTGAGATTTCTGGGGACTGTGTAGAACTAAAAATTAAAAATTAAATAAATAATTAAAAATTAAATCTGAATTTGCCCATATGGAAATGCGCAGAAGTAATGATTCTGCTGGGATTCTACCCATAGATAAGCATAGAAATTGTCCCACATAATTACGAAATGTATGATATACGATCAGATCCAAAAATTCCACCACCGACAGACAGTAATTTAGGACTAGGCCTGGCACTTGAGGCGCAAGTGAAAATATTATTTTCTGATCTGCAGCCATTCATAAATTGAATAACTCTCCCTACATTCTTTTTCCTGAATTTATTTGCAAAGGATGCTGATAGCTTCTAACTAAAGCAAATGGAAATTTTAAGTAGCCACAATTTTGAGACTTACCCAACTATAATGCTTATACTGGAAATGACATTGCATAAATCCACCCATTTCCAACACTAGATGGCAGTATTATGGGGCCCTCAGAGCCTTACAAATTTTGAATAAATTTTAATGATTTATTTTATAACAAAAGTATGATATAATTCTGTTCCAATGTTTAATTATTATATATACTATATATATTTCTTCCTCTTCTTATATTCCCCTTAACATAGTATTTTTTCTAGTCCTGTATGTTTGTTTTCCCTAAAGCAGAGTATCCTAAACTTTATCTTTCATTACCCAAAACCATTTATCAGAAAGTCCTTTTTACTCAGATGTAAGTAAAGCATTTTAAATCATTTTATATGTCCCTGTTGTGACTAGGTAATAGGTTTGTGTATCATTACCCAAAGAAAAAACACCAAGTTTGGAGGTATTTAGCCAGGTTTGGAAACACTGCTCAAAAGCGTGTGAGTTCCTGTTTGATGATCAATCAACAGTCTTTATTTTGCCCTAAATTGATTAATTGGTTCTTCTTGTATCCCATAGAATTCATACTGTTTTCAAGTCCATAAATTATTTTAGGCTCCAATTTGGATTCCAAGTGTCATATTTTCCATTCCTGTAGTTCTTCATAAAATTCAGAGATGGTATAATCCTTGTTTCACTTTCTTCTCAATTCTGAAATACTTTGACCAAATTCAACTCTTACAGTATCATCTTATTCCTCCTAATACCACAGCCATATCACACTTGCACAATCATAGGCTTTGTTTGGAGGAGGAAGAAGTGAAGGAGGAAGAGGAGGGGAGAGGGGGAGGAGGAGGAGGAGAACGAGGAAAAATATAAATAGACTTTTAGAAGATCTTGTTTGGAGACCTTTTTAAACAAGACTTTAAAAAAAGAAAAGAAAACAAGAACAGTCGTGTACATCATTAAACTTTGCCCATATGGAAAAATATTGATCAGTTTTCCGATGATATCAATAGAAAGCTAGTTCACAAAAATGATTTCATATTGTCAGTCCAAGATTTTAAACTGCATTATCTTCTCAGCAATGAGAAGTAATATTTTTGCTGCTCATGCTCGATAAATCTATAATTCTTTCTGTAGTGATGCACTCCAAGCATTTGCTAGGTAATGCAAAATGCTGTATATTTGCACTGTTAAGTCATATTGATCTTCGTAACATGGTATTAACAAATGTATAGATATGCTATACAAAATATGCTGATGGTGGGAGAAGCTTACAGTATAAACCAGAGATTCCTCATGCAGCTTACACTTCAAGCATAATAAGACTGACAGCCAATCCTTCTAAAACATTTCTTAGGTTCTCTAGCAATGGGAATCACATCCACCTTATATTAGATATTTGATTTAGGTCTCCTCCCTCTTATGAAACCTATTCATTTGTTCTTGTCATATATAGCTTAATTTTTCTGTGTGAGATGTTAAGCAAAACTTCGCTTGTATGATAAATTGTACTATTGTACAGTAATTTCCAGTAATTTTCTCATATTTCCCTTCCTCAGATTAGGTATATAGACTAGTTTTTCCAGTCCCTGGCCCAGTCTTCTTCCATATTTGTGACATAAAGGCATTCAAACTTTAATACCCGTTCTGCAGTTTTAACAGTTCAATAGCCATTTCATCTGAGTCTGATAGTTTTCTGTTTAATACCTGGCCTATTGCTTGTTGTAAGAGACGCGGTGGCTCAGTGGCTAAGACGTTGAGCTTGTCAATCGAAAGGTCAGCAGTTCAGCGGTTCAAATCCCTAGTGCCACGTAATGGGTGAGCTCCCGTAACTTGTCCCAGCTTCTGCCAACCTAGCAGTTCGAAAGCACATAAAAAACGCAAGTAGAAAAATAGGGACCACCTTTGGTGGAAAGGTAACAGCATTCCATGCGTCTTTGGCATTTAGTCATGCTGGCCATATGACCATGGAGATGTCTTTGGACAGCACTGGCTCTTCGGCTTTGAAACAGAGATGAACACCGCCCCCTAGATTTGGGAACGACTAGCACATATGTGCGATTTGGGAACCTTTACCTTTACCTTATTGCTTGTTGTACCATAATTTCTGTGGTTCCTGAATATAATGGCTCTATGTAGAATGGTTTTCTGTATTAACTTCCAACTCTCTTTAACTCATTTCTTTCTATAAGATCTTTTCAAGAATTACCTTTGTTTATTCCCACTTTTAAACTGTAAATGTTTGTGTGATTTTTCTATTTTTCATACAAAGTATCTCAACTTCTCTTTCTCTGTTTTCCTCTATTGGTGGACATTCTTGAAAGAGATAAATTTCTTTGTCCTTTCAGGCTTGAGAATGAACTTTATGTTTAATCGTCATTATGTATTCTTCTTGTTTCCCAAAACTTTTATCCTACACCTTTTTATAGATGCCATGTTCTTAAAGATATCTGAACAATTGTCACTTTGAAACTTTAGTATTTTTTTTTTTTGCATTGGAGTTTTATTTCTTTCCATAGCTAACCCAAGTTTTCTTTCACATAAGTTATATATATTGAATCAGTTCTTCTTATCTTCCATCTGAATGTCCTGTTGTATGGCAGATAGCTTTATATAGCTGAAAGAATGGATCAGGAGAGAGAAACAGTAAAGTTAGGACAAAACATTAAGAAGAAAGTATTCTTGAGGCTTTGCATTATGGCAGGAAAAAAATGTCAAGGTTTATTTAAGAAACAAGATGGTGATAGGAAAACCTGAATTACTTAAATATATCTAAAGCTAAGACTGCAGGATGTTCTCCTCCATTATAGGGAATATGAGCCAAGTAAATACCTGAACTGCATAGATCAAGTTAAAACAGAAAGAAAACTAAAGACTTGACTGCACTGGTCAAGTTAGAAGAAAAAGAAAACTAAAACTGGAGAAGAAAGAAGTCATGAAAGCTCTGAGAATATCAGTCTAACCAGTAGGAAGCATGTTACGAGGAGATATACACAATAAATATTGGCCAAGCAAAGAGATAAAATGCAGATTCTCTCTGCAAACAATTTTTACATCTATTGGCTGAAATGGTCAGTAAATCTAGAGGCACGGAAAGTTGGTACAAGAAAGATTGAATTCGATGTATTCTACTAATAAAATATTGTTATCTTATCTAATTTTTCTAAAAAAATGTTTATCTAATATTGATTTTGTGCCATCAAGTTGATATATACTCTTAAGTTTTCACATTATATTTTCTCATTATGTGAAAATTAAGTTTTCATATAATTTGTCTCAATATAATAATTTATGCTGGTGCCTTGAATAGGAAATCTGGCTTGATTTATTCAAGGATCCATTTGGTGTTTTTTTTTTTTCCACTATCCATGATAAACTTAGAAGTCTTCTCCAACTCATATAGTTGCATTGCATTGCGTTGCATTGCATTGTGTTGCATTATGCTGCATTGTATTAATATATATGTTAACTCATATTATTCACACTAATAATTTGTAGCTCTTCAATCAGCCTCTAGGAGAGTCTTGGCTGACTGGACCACAGTTTTTTATATCTTTCGTTTTGTACTCTATAGCCAATTTACTTGCAATGTCCATTAGAGGATATCTGGGGTGTGTGTGTCTAGATTTATGTTGATTGATAATAAGACTTCATTCTAGAGAAAAAGTCCTGTCTCTTAGTCTGGAGGTTTCCAAAAATTTTATGGCTAAATAATATTGCCCTTGTAATCTTTTCCATTATACTGTATATTTAGTCCAGATAGGACATTTCTTTCAAGTGATATACAGTTCTATATATTTCTAATACAATTTCTTATCAAATTACAAGAATCTGAAGGAATTTGAAGTCAAGTGAGATAGGTCTTTGCGAGTGGCAAGGGTCTATAGTTTATGTTCATAGGCATTAGGATACCTAATTCTGCCATTAGCTGTTGAGTATCAACAGTGAGTTGTATTTAACTCAGCAGAATCTGTAACACTACAAAACAATGGCAATACCATTTAGACTTACATACTCTAAGCTGTTTACAGAGTCAGCGTATTGCCCCCAACAATTTGGGTCCTTGGAAGGATAGAAGGCTGACTCAACCTTGAGTTGGTCAGGATCAAACTACTAGCAGTTGGCAGAGTTAGCCTCCAATACTGCATTTTAATCACTGTGAAGAAGTACAATGATATGATTAACAAGGAGTTATTATTATTATTATTATTATTATTATTATTATTATTATTACTATTTTGCACAAATTTGGAAAATTTAGATAGTAAAACACAACTTCAGTCCTAGTCACAACAACATTAACAGCTTGGTTTATCATCTAACGCTCTAGGAGTCCCTTCTGTAAAAGAACTCACTAGGATTAATATTTTTTTTAAAAAAAAGGATTGAATGCTGAGTTTTCTTCCACCTCTTGCGGTACTCTGCAAGCATGGATATTTCATCAGCACAACTTGATTTTCTCTTTGCTCCTTTCACAAAACCTTGCACTCCCTGAACTCTACTGCAGAACATTGGGATATCTTATGAAACTATGTTGGAAAGCCTGACAGGGTATCTAAGAACATAATTTTTATCTATTTATCTGTCAAGAACGTATTAGGTAATAAGTATAAACATGGATTGGATACATAAAATAGATACAAATAGAGGAGACATTAGGATAAAATAAAAGCACCTTGATTCAGGGATGTCAAACTTGATTTCATTTAGGGCCGCATTAGGGTTTGTTTGACCTCAGGGGGCCGGAGTGGGCAGGGCCAGGGTGGGCATGGCCAGCTCAATGTCACATGTGACAGGGCACCTGTGGTGGCCCGACCGCTCTGCCAGAGAAAACAGGCTCCCAAGCTCTGTTTTTGGCTGTAACGGCCTCCTGCAACCGTCTGCCAGTAAAAATGGAGTTCAGGAGTGTGCGGCTCTCCCGAGCTTCATTTTCACTGGCAGAGGCACCGCAGGCCAGTCCTTTGCTGTTTCCAGGGTGGCCCCATGGGCCAGATCTAAGCATCCTGCTGGCTGGATCCGGCCCCAAGACCTTGAGTTTGACACCTGTGATCTAGCTGAATTCTGTCTATACTTATTGGTAAGGAGCATTTTTCCTGGACA